GTGTTCTTGACAAAAGTTTCCACACCATTTGAAAGAAATCTGACGTGCATTACAGAAACGTAACAATAATTGAGCTGTAAGTTTCCGGTTTGAAAGTGTAACGTATTATTCAAATAAAACGTGAGATAACATTAATGGAAGAAACATTTATTATTAATATCCTGCATATTACTTGGTTTATGGCAGCATTAAAAGTATTTATGGATTTTGGTTATTATTATTATTATTATTATTAATTTTGTTATTATTCTATAGACTGTGGCTTATTCAAATGTATCCATACACACTCTAAGACTGAGGATTATTCAAATGTATCCATACACACTCTACTGATGACAGCAAAAACGTAATGACAACTGACCTCGGTTATCGAACTAAGGACTCTCTAAATGCAAATCTGGAGTGGTAACCAATACATCACAACGCTCGATACAAGTACGGACACAATGTCAAATTCCACGAGGTATTTTAACTTCAGTAATAGATAATGCAAGCGATTACATGTACGATGAATCGGTAAGCCGAGATGATTTATTGTAACGTTGGCAAGGGCTACGGAAATGTTCAGACTTAGAGGCCAGGTTGGCTCAGCGAGCAGCTTGGAGCTCCTCAATAAATTTGATTTTGAAATATACTTACAGGAAAGTTGTTATAAATGGGGCGGTAGCCGATTTGTTTTCCTGTCAGTATAAATTCTGTTTAGATCCGGAAGCTGTGGGAAGAAATACCAGATACCGCGTCCTGCACAGACTACCTCAAATACCACGGATTTGGTCGCTATTTACTACGCTGAATACCGTCTTACTAGGGAACCTTGAGTGTCATTTCATGAAGGATTTTTTTCTCAAAAATACAAAACTCCAGTAAATTTTAAATTAAATTAAATTAAGTTCTTTTTTCTAACGAGCCGAACAGACAGTTACATGGATCATTTATAACAACAGCACAAGAATAAAAAATAAATACAAAGTATACAAAACAATAAAAAGTAAAACAGAATTAATTAATACAATCGACCTAAACACTTTCTCACATCGAGAACGTATCCCCAAAGGAGTGAAAAATTTTTATAAAAGGAAAAATATCTGCATATCATTTGCAGAAATGACACGCCTAGCTTCGTCTTAATTTACAGCTCACGCTGAAAGTAGAACATTTTCTTATTTGCACTGTGGGCACACGAATACCAACAGTGTACATGATAGAATATCAATTATTTTTCCATTAACAATGAAAACACGGAAAATAAATAAAACATTCAAATATCGTCGTCTAGAATAAAGAGTTCTGAAATTTACAGAATTTAAAATTAAATCTAAATTAAGTGAAATAAAAATAAATTGAAAAATATGATAATAACACAACTGTAAAACTTTCTTTGCTTATTTTGTATTCTATTGGAGTCAGTCGACATAAGATTATTTCACGTGACAGATGCATAATCTAGCTTTATCCTAATTAAAAGAATATAAAAAGAACACAAGACTATCTACAGAAGAGAAATTATAAGTAATAAAACTTAAAAAGTCCTAATGTCCTCAATGCATGAAAATATACAAAATCAACATGGGAATGAAAATACGTTTTACTAACATGATATCAACGTCCTTTATACAGGGTGGGCCAAAAGTCGAGCGCTACAAAAATATGCACAATGCGTTATAACAGAACGAGAGGGTAGGAAGTTGTACTCCCATGGAATGGCCACCACGGTCACCGGACCCCACGCTTCTAAATTTTCCTCTTACACCACCTAGAGTCTAACGTTTACGCCGACCGACCAAGAAATGTTCACGAATTGCAGAACGACACAAGGTTTTGAGTGTGATAGAATTACTGTACTTTTAGAACTGAAACATGTCGTGTAAAAAGTGATGTTCTAATGTAAATCGAACATTTCGATAGAGAACATCATTTAATATATTTTAAATATTTAAATGTTAATTATAGTAATATTTTAATATTTAATAGGAATTTTATTGTGATTAGACTGACAAGATTTAAACAAATATACTGTGGACATGTTGCGGCGGCTGCAAAGAAGCTTTTGAGTTCCGTGTCCATAAGTGCACGAATGACACAAATATTTGATACAATATTATATTAAAAATATTTTGTAACGTAGAAATATAACAGATCAGCGGCTTTTTACAGATTTAAAGACGCCATACCTTGCGTACTGCATATGCGTCCTGTCCCTTAACCTCACACCCAAATTTCTCGTACTGCCGACCACTGGTCCCTGGAACTGAAGCCCAATTCCGGGCTTCTCGTACTGCCAACCACTTGTCCCTGGAACTGAAGCCCAATTCCGGGAAGAACACTGGACAGCGGAATGTCCAAGCTACGTCTAGTGCGTTGCACTAAAATAGTACAGGAATTACGGCGTGTACCACGGAAGAGTCCGGTTAGTTGCCGACGTGGGTTCTACAGTTTTGTCCCCGCTGTAATGGACTAATGACGGTTTAAACACTTGCTGTTCCGGATATTATGACCCCTGGCTTTTATTACTGCATTTAGTGTCATCTTTAAGTTCTGTAATATATTTGTTATTGACCCATAAGCGTTTACAGTGTTTAGTTTTGTGACGCATTGCCTTTACTCGTCTCCTATTTGATCCACGTAGGCAACCCACAGATCATACAACGCCACAGCGTAATTCAGTTTGCAGAGTTGGACACAACATCAAATCGACAGTGAAATCTTTATCCCTCAGTACGTTTGTTACTATACAGTTCTAAAATGTGTAATTCAATCCATTTCCCAGAACTTTTAGGAACTTCTCTTTAGTAGTTTAAATAAATATTGTTAAAAGTTAATAACAAATCTCGAGACTCTGTGTATATATATCATATTTATACGAGATTTTTACGTCAGCTTGTATGAATGGTGGCAGATTTTGCAACCAAAAGGCAGATAAAGAACACTGCTGAAGCTATTGAGTTCCACATACTTCAGCGAAGATCGACTTAGATCTTGACCTTTCATAGTTAGAAACACACACAAAAAAATTTGTGGAGCAAAAGTTTTGCATCAGTAAGGCCACGAGGGATGTAAGATCTCGAAGAAATAAGAGTAGTTCTACCCCCCCTTCCAAACTTCAGCAACTTTCGACATTTGAATTTTGTTAGTAAAACTTTCTATAACTATTGGACTACTGAAAACAAATAACTGTGAAAGTAAAGATTAACGAAAACTGCTCCATTGCTTAACAGTTTTAAAACCGAGATGGAAATTAATGCCGAAAGGCAGTTCTTTCTAGGAGTTCTTTATACTCTAGCGTGAGCGGAGAACATCCTGAGGGCACGTCCATGTCTGCCTATCTGTCTATCGCATTTCTCTTACTAAACAGGCAATTTGCAAGGCTTCTCCAAAGGATGACGCGAATCTAGGCGGCTGCAGTCCGAAAGTGTCTCTCCCGCCCAAACCAGAGGCTTCCACCCCAGATTGTGTCCAAGCGCGGTTCTTTGCCTCAGACATTTGACCCCCCTCGGTCTACCTCACTTTGGGGATTTGACCACAGGGTTTGGTTCCCGTGGTTTTTCTCTCTCCCCTCCCCCGCCGAGCCTTCGCTGGATTGGAAGTCCCTGAGCTTCCACTATCCCGGGTAAAATCACGAGGCCCCCGTAGGATCGAGACTTCTCCCGAAAGACTCCCCTAGATATTAACAGAGTTTTACCACCCATGCATTGAAGGTAACTGAGGTAAATGTCGAGACACAACCTCCTATCATATTATCGCAATAATAACCTCGGATAAGATTTCTGACCTTGTTATTCGTTTCGAGTAGAATGACAGAAACCCACATTTCTTTCGAATCGCGGTTACACCAAAGAAGCAACCTGGGAACATCATCGCTCGTGATGTCGCGTATTACAAAGGATACTCTCGAATCTTATAAACTTTCCCCCCAAGACAGGTCCGACAGTATTGTACACACCGTTTACTCCATGAAGTGAACGTTCTACGCTCAAGAGTATTTTATTGTTTTAATAAATTTAAGAAATGAAATGTCTTGTAAGACCCGTAAAATCACCTGCAAAATCACTACAAGCATTGAAGTTAAAATTTACTGAAATGGCTTTCTCAGAGCTGTAGCGCCGTGTAGTCTGGCAGAACTTTACCAGCGTTTCAGAGGTCTTTGCTGCCTCCATCATCAGGGCGATGAGTCACTCGTTGGTGAACTTCTACCAGACCACAAGCCTCTATAACCCAGAAGACAGCCATCTTTGTACTCACCGCCGTGAACACCTCAAATCTTAATTGAAGTGTACGGAATTTCTAATATTCTGGTTCCGTGCTTGTTACATTTATTATTATTGAGTGTTCTGTCTGACGACAGGTCCATATGAACAGGATCCTTCCATCCTTTTCTCGGACTGGGACCTGTTCATATACGTTCTTGGCAGATGATCCAGAAGTGGGTTGCCATTGCCTTCTTCTGTGTGTGAAGGGAGTAATTGTTGGGATGCCACGGAGAAACCGGGGAAGAAGCCCCCGGAGGAAAACTCCGTGTTGCCTAGACCAAGGCCTTGCCCAACACAAGTTATAAATTCGAACCCGAGACCCCAGGATTACAAGACCAGCGTTAGCAATCAACTAGCTTGATCGTATTTCAGTGGGACCTATTACAGAACTCATTTGATGATAACCACAGCAACATGAATGACCTATATTTGAAAGTGGGCTGATTTCACTGGCTTCTGATAGGACAAAGTGTTTCACTATGCATTTATTGTGCCGTCCGCAGAACGTAAAGTTTTGCAAAAAAAAAACAAAAACATTCCATCTTATTAATATACTGCCTTTAATCCTGATTATACTTCGGCCATTCTTCCAAGTTAATGTTGTAGTTCTGGTCGCGTCTTTAACGTATTTAATTTATTTAACTGTAATTGCAAGTAATCTAAAATGCTTAATGAGACCAGCATTTCGGTGATTGAATTTAGCATTGTAGTCAATATAAGAACAAATGTCAGTAATTCAACCGGGCCACATACCCGGCACGTCTCCTCGCCCGTTCTCGGGCCAATTTGGCTCGTCGTCTTAGGCAGCAAATCACCAACAAGGCCAGCAGAGGAAATCCCAGAATGCAGGATACGATGGGGATCACGATCGATTCCGGAGACACTGCAACAAACACAGAAGGCTTACATTACTCACCATATTCGTGTACGTTCTGAAATCTCTATTAATCATCACCACGGGCTCACAACAGAGCTGAATGACTGTAATTCTGTGGTCGCACGTCGTATCCCGGCGTGGTCCGAATATGATCGAGCTGCCGTCTAACACAATGTCACTATCACTCACAGATTTGTAATTTAAAATCAGAGCTGAGCTTCATGTGAAGTAGGATTATATAGGAATTATACGGAACACAGTCAAATATGTCCCCCACCAAACTTTATGAAAATTTGTGGCGTTATTCCGGAGCTAAAACGAAAATTTGGAAAGACTAACAGTCACGATGTTGCCACATTTCACTAATAAAATGGAACCGTATGTAGTTATCACGTCAAAGCTTAGAAATACGATATTGAGCTTTTTTTATATAAAATGCATGCATATAGGTGTCAATACATTACGTTCATTAATTATAGGGGAACGTGTGGACGTGAATATGACTAAAACAATCAATGAACATAGGGACTTGCCGAGTACCAAGAATTAATTTCACAGGAGCTTCTAGGTTATCTATAGATTTTACTGCTATCTAGTGCCAGCCATTTGCTTCATAGTGGCCACCTCGATCACCAGACCTAAAGCTGACAGACTTGTGGCTTACGTAAAAATGAGGTTAGTAACTTTGGCAATGCCCAGAAGAGGCAGGAATCGAGATTTGAACCACATCTGGGCTGAAGTATGTGTTCATGAAAATTTCGATCAGTTAAACATTTGCAAACAAGTAAATGCTCCTTATGGCAAGCATTTTGCATGTCATAAATGTTGGAACATTATAATCCCGGACCTTCTTCTGTGACTATTCACAGATAAAATTCTATTCCTAAGCTCACTGGATGTTTCTGACTCACACTGACGTACTGAAACTCCACTTTCATTTATGGGACATAATTTAGAACATTCTGTATTCAGGGCGATTCTTAATTATTTGAAAGAAATAATATGTACAAGGACCGTGTTATACTTCTAACATGAATAAGATAGTGTAATTGCGTCATATTGTGAATATTATAACAATTATTTATTTTAATCCGTCTGATCACAATATTTAAAATTTCTTATAATTAAGATAATAAAATATTTTTCCATTTTTGGGCGAAGGTGTTGTTTTTCTTAAATGTTATTAGATGTACATATCGGCCTGTAAGTAAATGATTGAAAGAAACACTAAGGAATTTGAAAGAATTTATAAAATAATTTAGGGGATAAAATGAAAAATATATAAATTATAGTTAGAAAGTATCAATAAAATAGAAATAAAAATAAAACATACCAAAGATGTATGAGTGAGTGTCCCGATATGTCCAGAAGTACTACTGTCTTCGAATAGGTTTGGGTCAATGTTGTTATCGAGACATGATAACACCGCGCTATTAAAACACTTTAGTATTTGAGATTCCCAGAACTGTAGGATTACAATTATATTCACCTGTGCAAACAAACAGACCACATGGAACGTATATATTTCACGGCAGAGAGCTTTGTTCCTATCGATTGTTACGCTCATGAACAAAAGAGGAGACGTACAGGAAAATTCCGATAGTTGGACAAACGCACAAACCACGAATAGCCTCTGGGGATACGGTAGAGGTTATTGAAACCTAATGAATACCACAGGCAGCTAAAATACTTTAGACATAATCAAAACTATAACGAGATGAATTATTGTAGTCAGACAACAGGATGCCTAAAAATAAATGTCCACCCTTGTTTTAAAGAAGGTTTTGGACGATGAAAACTGGATGTAATCTTCCGTCGCCAGCTGAAAAGCTTTGATCTTTGCAGTTCAGACCCACGTTTAAATACAACGGCGATAAATCTGTGGCTGAAAATTTTTCAGTAGAAAAGTATTAATATTTATAATTTTAAACAGGTTTGATATGCTGCCCCCCACATCAAGGTCATAGACTTTCTCAACTTCTGCAGAGCGCCCGTAGATTCCCGGCGGGCCTACGAAGCGACTTTCGATGGTAGGCGTGTGTTAATTTAATCTAACCTAAGGAATGGAATATAACATAAGCACAAGCCAGGGATAAATTCATTCAGCTCACGTATCCAATATGCTGTGAGCAGTATCTTCCACTCAGAGTAAAGTGTTAGAATTCGGCATCCAAGTGATGTGGAAAAGGAAGTCATCTGTGACAGCGAGAATTTCGCGTTAAACAATTTAAATAACTTCACCCCTCTGGAGCCACGTTCTCCAGATCTGCTTATTCTGTGTTACTCGACAGACGCCCGCCGGGTCGATTCTGACTTTCCTTTCATGAGAGCAAAAAATGTTTGCCGTCACTCAGAGGCTAGATATTCGAGAGCAGTTCGATTTACAGCTCCAATACGGTGATTACAGTTTCAATGTTTTTTTTAAGAATCCATTACACGTTTCGATCTTAATTGGTCATCTTCAGGTGGTTTTCTTTAACTGCTCGAAATTAATAGATATGTCTGCTAGGTTGACACATTTTCTGTTGTTAGCTTCACCATGTAATGGATGTCTTAAGGAGCTTACCTATTTAAATAGACTGGACTTAAACTAACTTATGCGATTTAATTGTCCAGTTATGAGCGAATTCCAGTAACGTCATATGCTTAAAACATAACCTCATATATTTTGTAATTCTTGGCGCGTGTACGGCCTGTGATTATGAAACTTACTTACTTACTTACTTACTTAGTGTTCTATCTGACGACAGGTCCATATGAACAGGATCCTTCCATCCTTTTCTCCGACTGGGACCTGTTCATATACGTTCTTAGCAGATGATCCAGAAGTAGTTTGCCATTGCCTTCTTCTGTGTGTGAATGGAGTAATTGTTGGGATGCCACGGAGAAACCGGGGAAGCCCCCGGAGGAAAACTCCGTGTTGCCTAGACCACGGCCTTGCCCAACACAAGTTATAAATTCGGGCATCGCCGGGAATCGAACCCGAGACCCCAGGATTACAAGGCCAGCGTTCTAACCGCTAGACCACCGTGGCACGGTGATTATGAAACATCCATATAAAATTTCAAAGCGCAATTATTACCCGTTGGTTAAGACCGTAAAACCGAAAGCTAGATGTAGATTTGAGCGGCCACCATTTTACAAATAAGACTTTAGTCTAATAGCAGTACACATATCTGTAAATTATTATCACATAATTTATGACGAAACTTAAAAATTAAAAGAGTTTGGATGAGTCACATTTACAAAAATACTTACACTTGTCGAAATGAATCAAAACCAGCATAACAGAGCTAGGTTTGTTTTCCAACACTGTGATAAAACACTAATGATTAGTGTTATGAGTTTATCATTACGTTAATGGCGGATGTTAGCTCGTAGCATCATTTAGTAACAACGTACATAAATCTCTCATCAAAATAGCCTTATTTTCCTGTACGACTGAATTTATAAATTACAACTAATTGATACAGTCCTCCACTAAGTCTAACACACATCCACCACGATTACCATAAAGCAAACAGCAAACGAGCGTGACAATACAACATATACATTGCGATCAATGCAATAAATCCGTATCTTATGGGGTCTGTAACACGTAGTGATGGAAAAGTCACGCAACCCATTCCTGACACAATTATATTTGTCAAAAATAAATTTTCACAGAAATCAGGAAACATGAATAATAACAGAGTTAATACAGAGTGTTGGAAATGTCGACCGCGTTCAGGGACGCACGAATTAATTATTTTTCTAGTCTTCGATGCGGAAAGGATTATCCAGACGAGACACTGTCGATTTCTTTGGCGCAGAAGAACCGGGAAATACACCCCTAAACACATTCTAGCCAGGTAATGTTCGACGATGACCACTCGTTACACTTCGACTGATTGAAGACAAATGGCGGACTGGGACGAACAGGTTACAGGCTCGTGTATTGTGGCAACGACGCTGTGTCTTTATGAATCAATTAGAACTGTATTGAACTGTTTTAATAAGGGTGGCGTGCCTTCTCGATCACTGTGTATAACAGAGTACCAGCACGAGAATCGAAACACAGGTCCTTGTAGCCTGGATAATAAACACGGGTTGGGATTTCTGGAAGAATAGAAAATAGAGAAAAGTACATTATGTGGAGCTTTACCTAACACTGTTAAGTCTGGAGTTATCAAATCAAGGTTGATAATGTAAGACTTGAGGTTCTCACAGCGGTGAGTACAAAGATTTCTGTCTTCTGGGTTGTTGCGCTGTGTAGACTGGTCGATGTTAACTAACGTTTCGGAGGTCATACTGCCTCCATCATCAGGGCGATGAGTATGAAGATTTCTGTCTTCTG